CCCACGGGGGCGGGACTAGCGAGGAGACGCTTGAGAGCAGCGGTTCTCAGCCTGGCTGCGCGTTAGAATCACCTGGGAATCTTCCTAAAATCCTGATTTCGGGGCCTTGTCCTCCGGGAATTCTGTGTCTTTGTTACTCATGTTGTGGCCCCTCCCCATCACAAAGACACAGAATTTCCAGAGGATGAGGCCCGGAAATCAGGACTTTAGAAAGACTCCCAGGTGATTCTCATGTGCAGCCCAGGCTGAGCGCCGCTGCTCTGGAGGGAGTGGCTTTTACTCTTCCTGATAAAAAGAGAGGAGGAGCACATTCCCCAAGATTTCAATCCCGACCGCGCGGTGCAGGAGGTCCTGTGTGAGCAGCCACGCTCTGCCGAGCTCCGGCCGTGGCCGTGACGGTGGGCGGGAAGGAGCCTGGGGAGGCCGGAAGGGCGGGTCGCCTGGAGGACGAAACCCTGGGCAGGGTGGGAAGGAAGGGGCAGCGGTGGAGCGCCAAAGCCAGGGGGCCTTCGGGCTGGCCAGCGCCGCTCTCTGCTGGGCACGGTGCCTGTGACGCCCCTGGGTCCCCAGGAAGGCGCCGCAATCCCATAGAAAAAGAGACTGAGGCTCAGGGGGGTCCCAGGACCTTGGCCGGCGTCGTGCAGCGAGGAAGTGCCTGGGACCGGCTCTGAGAGGGGTCTGACTGCTGGGACTCTGATCACATTCCCACTGGCCTGAGTGACAGCTCCTGACTTAGTGGAGGGGAGGCCAGGCTGTTCCCCGTCCTGGGCTCCGAAAGCTGAGCCCCGAGACTCGCTGCTGCCCCCCTCTCCTCGGTGGCCCGACCCGCTGTGCTTGGGAACGTGTCCGTCTCTCAATCCCCACTCTTCTGGGGCCCCTGATGCGGCTGGGCTGAAGGCGGGGAGCTGGCGGCGGGGTCCTGCATCAGTTAGCCCCGGGCTGCACCCAGACCTCAGGGCCCCGGGGAGGACAGAGCCTGGCCCTGGGCCGGGACGCGGCTGGGACATATAAGAGAAGGAAGACTTCTTGGCGGGGGTCCTGGGCGGCACAGCGTGTGCCGGGCACTGGAGGTGGGCCTCCTCCTGGCATCCGCGTCCCAGTGTTGTGGCAACAGGAACGGTTCAAATACCCACCAGGGAATTCGACCCAAGAAGCCCGAGGAACCTTTCTCAAAGTGTGTTCCATGGAACACGGGTCCTGACAGATCAGCTGCCAAAGGGTTCCGTGGTCAGATAAGTTTGGGAAACCCTTGGTATGCTCTCCCCCTCATTAGCATATTAAAGGCCCGAGAATTCCTGCCGTGGAGCATTCTGTATTAATAAGGGGATTTTCCAAACTTCCTTAGCCGTGATCCCTTTTTCTCGTTGTCCAATGGTTCTCGCTACTCGGTTGTCTGTGGGGGGTCACTTTTGGCCGTAACTTACAGGCGTCTGGTTGTGGGGTTTGTACTGGGGGGAGGAGTTGGAGCCCTTCTTTTCGTTTTCTCTTGTGCCTGTCACGGTGCGGGCAGGGACTGGACTGTGACCTATAGGGTCACTTCCAAGTCTGCGTGATTCCCTCGGAGGAGAGCGAGCTGCTACAGGGAGCGGGGTGCGCCCGCAGGGGGCGTGGCGAGGGCAGGACCTAGATAAGCAGGGGGGAAAGTCTGCGGGCTGTGGCCAAGCCGAGAACTCTGAGCCCCCGAGGGCTTATGCCCGCGGTGGGGCCCTGGGGCTCTGTGGGGGACACGTTCAGCCTGGACCCTCGCTAGTCCCTTCGGCAGCTCAGGACCTACGGGTCCGGCCAGGGCCTGGGTCTCCGCAGGTCCCGCAGCGCCCACAGAGCGGACCAGGGTGTGAGCACTGGGGTGGGCAGGCCGGGTCCAGACCCTGGCTCCGCTCCGGGGAGTCTGGCTCTTGGGCGATGACACCTCAGCATCGAGGTCTCCTCACTGTCCCCTGGGGGGCGCTGGTGCCACGCTGGGTGGGGGCCGTGGCTGTGAGGACTGAGTGGGCTGATGTCTGCCACGTGTCAGGGCCGGGCACAGAGCAGGTGCTCAATAACCCTTAGCCGGTGTCGCCACCGCCTGCCACAGGCCTGGAGTCCTGCCAGCCGGACATTCATATTAAAAATAACAGAACAGCCCTGGCTGGTGCCGGGAAGGGCGCGCTGAGCGTAGAGAGGCAGTGGTCTGAGGCTGCCTCTACACGCAGAGAAAGCCTGGCAGGGGAGCCGTGACCTCGTCAGAGGCCTGCGTGAGAATGCCCACGTGTGCACGCATGTGCGTGCAGGTCAAGCAGAGACAGGCAGGAGCTGAGAGGTATCAAGTCACACCATGTGACAGAGGGACGAGTAAGGGACCAGGGACCCCCTCAGAGGGTTGGGGTTCAGGAGATGCTGATTAGAAAACAGCTGTGAGTGCACCAAAGCCAGCCTCCCCCGGAGCTTCAGGATGGGGTGCTGGTGTAAAGAGGGGTTCACCTGTGAACGCAGGGCCCTGCGGGAAATGGAGGCCTCCCCTCCGGGGTGCGAGAGGCCCGGGTGATCCGAGTGCTGGGAAAGGCCCGGGCCCTCTGTGGGGTCCTGTCTCTGAGTGGAGTGTGGGATGGGAATGGAATGGCTGAGGCGCCCCCTCCCCACCCCGCCCCCCACCAGCTTCAAGGCAGTGACTGCCCGCAGGGCAGGGCTCTAGGGCGGGAATCCCTCCACGGGCACCTGCTGTCCCTGCCCCTCCAGTCCCGCCCCCCACCCCCAGCTTCCTGGGGGGGACACCCATTTCCAGCTGCTGTGGCTGCTGGTGCTAAGGGCTCACAGCTGCCCGCTTTGGGGAGTGTGAGTCACACCCTTCCCCAAACCCTGCATCTTGGCCTAGGAAACCCTGCCTCCTGGCTCCACGGTGGGAGTCTGTGCTTCGGAGCAGCCCCCACCACCGGG